CAACTTGTTAGATTATGTTCATTCATTTGAAGACACATCTTACCTCTAAGGCATAAACAGTAGCTTTATCTTTTCCAAGTTTGTATGCAACCGTAGTAAGTAAACCATTCCTAGACAGGATAGCTTCTTCTCCTGTGTTGTACAAGAGAAAACAACCAGTACCATACCTGTAATGTGATTAAGATCATAGCACTATTATTACAGAATTCATTGAATGCAGAATTTTTAAGTTTCCTTGGTACTGTAAGAACATATTTTACAGCAAAATGGTTCTGAATATATTGTACACATACTGTAAGCGATCAAAGAAATTATATCTGTGTCTTCACAGAGCATGTTTAGACTGCTGCAATGTGGGGTACAAGCATAATGAAATGCAAGACAATGGACAATACAACAACCCTGATTAAGTAATGCAGTGCAGAATACATGAAAGTTACAATATAAATGGTAGTTAATTCCTGTACCACAGTGTTGGATTATCTGTAATTTTATTACTCACGTATTTTTTGCCATTCCTTTGGTAAAACATGTCTGGCCCACCAAGGCAGCCTGCTGGTCACCTAGAATCTGAAAATTAAATCAATGTCAATAAATGATATACATGTAATCTCAATATTATGTGCATGCTGAACATCCCAATCTATTTACCAGCTTACTTGATTTAAAATTATACTCAATTCCTAAAACAATTATATAAACAATTATAGTCAGTGTTCAATTTATAAACTTTTCAATTCAATTTTCACTGCTCTATTCATTCTTGCCATTTATCGAGGCTTACAACAGGGGATGTTAAGACACTACAATACATCAGGGCATTTCTTAGAATCAATACATATATTTATTAGTAAAATGTGCAAAGGAAGCTAGTGGTCGTTATAAATTACAAACTCACCCCTGCTATGGGAAGTCCTGCTAGAGGTCCATCACACAATGTACCATATAGTTCGGCAGAACTTCTAATTTCTGGTAACACATTCATCGGAATGTCAAAGAATCTAAATATTACAACCAAAGTACTTTAAGTCATGACAATATCTACCATTCTAAATATACACCAGCCAATCAGATGAGTTAGATTTGAAACATTCATTATCAGCAGATATACTTACTTACAAAGTGTTTTATCCCACAGCAGTGTATTTATATTCATTAACATAGTTCTACTTGCATTAGTGACATCTGTGATATGCAGTCCTCCATTTAAACCACCTGTCATGTTCTAAAAACACACACCATACAAGACAGCCTTCATTGATTGAACCATAATTATACATATATATATATATATGGTGCATATTGTAACTTTTAGAATAAAACAAGTAATTGTATACAAAGTCCACAACAGTTATACATATAGTGTGCTAGGAATAGCATTTCGGAAATATCGCTCAAAAAAACAGTGGTAGCCGGACATTTTGAATCCAAACTTAAAAACAAAATGATATTTATTAAGATCCTATAATGTCCAAGTACACATATGAAGTTTGAAAGAAAACCAGTTCCATAATGACAAACATGTATGCCATTCGGTCATCTTGAATTCGATCATGAAATGGATGTTCATATGTATCCAAAATTGTATGAAGTAAGTGTGAAGTTGAGGCATGTGCAAGATATAGATGGATGCAATCCCAGTGTACAAGAATGCCCAACTAAAGGTTGGCAAATACATGCACACATCTAAATGGGGATAAAAAAGAACACTTTTAATTAACTCTGAAGGTGTATAAACCTACATACCCATAAGAGCCAGGAATCTACAGTTCCAAACATGCATCGATTATCATGCACCGCTTGTTGGACAGCCTCTACGTTGTCAATCAACCATCGTAACTTAACAGCACTAAAATATGTACTCAATGGTAGACCACACATTGCTTGTAGATAGTCCTTATTCTGTCCTGGTGTTTTGCTAATTAGTCTTTCTACAGTCTCACCTGTCCGAGAGTCCAACCAAACTGATTTGAAAAGAAAATGGAGTGTCACAATAAATAATCTAGTGGTAATATTAACCAGTTGGTCTCTCTGTTCATCTGTCTGTATGTCTGTCTGTCTGTCTGTCTGTTCGTCTGTCTGTCTGTTCGTCTGTCTGTCTGTTCGTCTGTCTGTCTGTTCGTCTGTCTGTTCGTCTGTCTGTTCGTCTGTCTGTCTGCCTGTCTGCCTGCCTGCCTGCCTGCCTGTCTGTCTGTCTGTCTGTCTGTCTGTCTGTCTGTCTGTCTGCCTGCCTGCCTGCCTGCCTGCCTGCCTGCCTGCCTGCCTGCTCAGGTAATGTGAATAAGATTGCAGGATAAATGTCACAGTGTAAGGCCTGCTTATTGCAATTCAGAGGGCCACCCACAGAACTCACACTGGACAGGGGGTTCTTTCACTGCTAGAATGGGGTAGACAAGACAATAGTACTGGAAATGAAATATACATACACCAAAATATCGAGTTAAAGTCCCTGGCTTTAATACCTCTCAAATATTAGAAGAATAAAGCACAGAAAAATACAATGAATAAAGTCACTAAAATAGGGGA